AGTTTAGTCCTTGTACATTTAATTAGAGCCTAATCACTATTAAGAGGTCGACTGATAGGGTTTAGCTATCAGGTTCGACAGTTCTTCTCCTCTTCTTCTTCTTCTCCTCTTCTTCTTCTTCTCCTTCTCTTTCTTCTTCTCCTTACTGGTTCGGACTACTGTAGCAACAGTAGAAACAGATTGGAACAAGAACCTCTTTGGGAAGGGGGAGGAGTCAAAAGGAAAAATTCTGTCAAGAATTGAGGAGTTAGATAAAAAAGAAGCTCTTAGATTGTTGAGTAGCGAAGAGAGAGAGGAAAGGTGGAAGCTAAAGTGTGATTTAGAAGAGATCCTTAGAAAGGAAGAGATTTTGTGGAGGCAGAAGTCTAGATGCAAATGGCTCCTAGGAGATGGCAATACAAGATGTTTTCACTCCTTAGCCAGTGGAAGAAGAAGGAAAAACCAGATTGATAGGTTGGAGGTGGATGGCATAGAGACTACCAGGTAGACCTGTTCACGGGTCGTGCCGGGTTTGGGTTGGGCTTTGCCTCTACATTAACAAAATATGTTCAGGCCCGAGCTCGAGCCCGGCCCGACCATTGGGCCTAGGTCTTGAGCCCGAGCCCGACCCTCATATAAAGCCCGTGCCCGAACCCGAGCCTGGTTAGAAATTTGGAAAAAAAGATTTTTTCCTTTTTAATTCAATTAAAAGTTGTTTTGTTTATACTAAAAGACCTCAAAAAAGTCGGGCTCGGGCTTGGGCCGGGCTTTTTTGAGAAAGCCCGAGCCCGACCCAAGAAAAAGTCGGGCCCGATATTTTAGGCCTGAACCTGAGCCCATGGGCCTGAAATCTTGTCCAAGCTTGACTTAGATCGGGCCGGCCCGGCCCGGCCCGTCGGGCTACCCGACCCATGAACAAATCTACTACCAGGGAAGAAGTGATAGTAAAGACCTTTGTTGACCATTTTAAGATTATTTACTTGAACTAGGGGGAGAGAAGCCCATTGCCTCTAGATCTTTAGTGGGATAAGGTGTCTAAAGTTGAGGCAAAAGCTTTGGAGAGTGTTTTTACTTTAGAGAAAATAAAAGAGGCAATCTTCTCAATGGATAGGTCAAAGGCCCCTAGGCCAGATGGTTTCTCCATGGCCTTTTTTCAAGAGTGTAGGGAGTTGATCAAAAGAGACCTTCTTGAAGTTTTCGATGAATCCTTTCTGGAAGGGGAAATCTCCCAATGAATAAACTCAACTTTCATTGCTTTAATCCCTAAGAAGAAGGAAGCAAAGGTTCCCAAGGATTTCAAACCTATAAGCCTTGTGGGTAGTCTCTATAAAATCATAGCAAAAGTTCTAGCAAGGAGACTAAAGAAAGTGTTCCCATCAGTAATCTCACAACAACAAGGAGCCTTTGTTGAAGGGAGACAAATTGTAGACCAGATCCTGGTGGCCAATGAATGTGTTGTTGAGAAGAGGAGGAAAGGGAAGGGTTTGGTGTGTAAGCTGGACATAGAGAAGGCCTATGACTTTGTGGATTGGTCTTTCCTCTTGGAAGTCATGGAGAAAGTTGGGTTAGGGGAGAGGTGGAGGAAATGGATGAAGGGTTGTCTAAGGTTTGTACAGTATTCGATTCTGATTAATGGTGTGGCAAGAGACTACTTTCCAGCTAAAAGGGGATTGAGGCAAGGGGACCCCCTTTCTCCTTTTCTTTTCACATTAATTGCATATGTCCTAAGCAGGACGATTTTGAAGGCAGATCAGAATAATCTGTTTAAAGGCTGGAGCGTAGGAAGCTTGGAGGTTGCTGTAACTCATTTGGAGTTGGCTGATGATACCATTTTATTTTGTGAGGAAGGCAACCTTGAATCTGCTTCAAATCTGCGAGAAGTCATTAGTTCCTTTGAATCAGTCTCCACTTTGAAGATAAATTGGGTAAAGAGTTGTGTAGCAGGGATAAATTTGGATGATGAAAGTCTAAGGGTGATAGCAGAGATATTAGGGTGTGAGATCAAACAATGGCCTTCCTAGGTTTACCCTTGGTGGAAACCCTAGATCAGATGTTTTCCGGAAACCAGTGGTGGAGAGATTTACGAAGAAATTGGCTGTGGAAGAGAAATTACTTATCCATTGGTGGAAGGATAACCTTAATTAGAGCAACATTAGAGAACCTCCCAGTTTATTTCTTGTCCACTTTTAGAGTCCTAATGAGGGTAGCAAGGGAGTTAGAGAAACTTATGAGGGACTTTCTCTGGGAGCCTGGGGATGAAAAGAGAGACCATCTAGTAAAGTGGGAACACGTTTGCAAGACAAAGAGGGAGGAGGTTTAGGGTTGGGAAATTTAATCCACAGGAATTCTTCGTTGGTAGGAAAATGACTTTGGAGGTTTCCATTGGAAAGAAATAGGCTGCGGCACAAGGTTATTGAAAGCATTCATGGGCTAAGGAATAATGGCTGGGATGCAAAGGTTGCTCCGACATCTACCTTGAAATCTCCTTGGAAAGCAATTCAAGAGGTATATCCAACTTTTCTTAATTTCATTAGATATGATGTGGGTTGTGGTTCCAGGGTTCTGTTTTGGGAAGACCTTTGGTGGGGTGACTCTTCTGTTCC